GTGAGATAAGCTCACTCCTATCCTTTGCACCATTGAACTATGCCCGGGGGCAATAGAAGTTAGTAATATAATTATAGAGAAATGAGTGATTAGCATAGCACCACAACAAATTAAAATTTATTTTTATGAATTTGAGACGGACCATTAAGTATCTTTTCATTATTTTATTTCACCAGTTGCTATATAAAAATATGAGGAGATTCATTTACTTAAGCACAATAGTTCATAATAATCTTAAACTAAAAAAAATGCACTTATCATTAATGTTTCCATCTTGTGAATAAAATTTCCTCCCCAAATGGCACTAAATTGATCGTTCAATCAGGGATGGATCTAGAATTGGATCCAAAATTGAGCTACAAAATTTCAAATCGGACTATTACACAGGAAAAAAAAAATTTACACATAAAAAACTGGTTTTTTTTAAAAAAAAAATTGAAAAAATACCTTTGGACTTGATTTGGAGGGGGGACTACAGCCCTGCCCTGCCCAGCCCAGCCCAGCCCAGCCCCCCCTAAATCCGTCTCTGCGTTCAACACACCAACTTTAAGACAAACAAATTCACATTGAACTACTTTATTAATAAATTTTAAAATTAAAATGTTTCAACATGTTGTCGACCTTAACATATGCATCTTTCATTTTTTCTTGGTGAAATAAAACTATCAATATTTGAAATTATTTCATGGTGTTGAAATGTCTATTCGATGATGAAGGCGAGGGAGGAACAAGAGTATGCAAGAAGGACCAAAACATATTGCTGTAAGGAACATCTAAATCACACACACACGATAAGGTGGACCATATTTTGATTGCCAAATGATCCTAAAAAAATTGTAATTATTTTCGAAGGTTTCTTTTAAGACATTTTCACCCCAGATCTATTGGAGGATTACTATTTCATTGTCTCGTATGTGATATATTTTTCTACCAATTCAATGTAATATGAAATTGTTGTAGTTAACTCAACTCTCATTTGTTACGACATTACTGTGCATCACAATTACATCAGCTCGACACTTTTAAAACTGATTAAATTGCTTGTCGTAATAAAAAGTTGAGAATTACTTTTAAAAAATTTGTTTCCCATTTTTGTAAAAATGAGAATGAAAAATATAGCTATTATGGATCCCACACAAGAGATAGAAATTTAAATTTGATAACTTGATATGATGAATAACGGTCATATTTTTCATTTTAATGGAAAAAAATGAAAAAAAGGGGGCTAAATAAATTGCTTGTCGTAATAATAAGTTGAGAATTACTTATAAAAATAAATTAAGAGTCCATAATTTCATTTTTCGAAGAGTTCAAAGAGGACACGTGTCAGATAAACAGTCGATCAATGACGTGTCGCAATCTGGGAATGGGACCACAATCTTATCACGTGGTCGGTGTCAGCCAATGCTGCGTTGGTTTGACCTAGTCTAGTAATGCCAAAATACAACTTTTTGCGGTTCAACTCTCAAATTTAGCCCCTAATAATCATTATTTTGGAAAAAATAGAGTTTTAAATAATTTTTTTAAGAGAACGTGAAATTAAAAAATAAATAAAAAATTTAAATTTAAATATAAAATATTTTATTGTGTGAATGTGTGTTCATTTTCAAAATTACAATGACAAATAAATTTGAAAATGAGTATTTAGAATTTTATTATTATTATTATTATTATTATTATTTTATTTGGAAAATAACGATGGTAAAACGGGGACTTATTATCCATCTTGTAAAATCATAAGCGTTTTCGAAATTCTTAAGCTTGAAATTTTACAAATCCTAAAAGGTTTGTAAATTGATTTTATTTTGCAAATTACTTGATAATTCAGATTTTGCTTATTTCTTAAAAAGGTGTAAAGTTTCCGGGGCCGGTCTAAGCATTAGGTTCAGCTAAATCTAAAAATGGGGACACTGAAAAATCTACAAACAATTACAAAAAACAGATGCCAAAATGCGTGTGGGGTTATGGATTGACTTTCAAGTGTTAGGTTTCAGTATCACATGCAGATACGAAAAGCTAAATTAGGCCTTTTTAGAAATTAATGAACGATGGCCCCCATCACGAGCCCTGTCTATCTTTCAAACCTCACCTTTACATCTTAATGCACAAGTGGGTCCCATTTCAACATAGATGATGACTAGCCCTCTTAAATTTAAGGGAAAATTGCAACAGAAGCTTCAAATCTTTTAAATACTAACAGTTTTCCTTCTAATCTTTTATTTGTTGCAGTCGTCACCAAACCTTTCAAAATGTTACATTTGAGGGAAAAACCCAGAAAGCTACTAATCAACTAATATACTACGTAGTATTTATTGAACATGAAATATGATAAAACTACTGATTTTGAAGTTCAAAAAAAGGATTTTTTTTTTTTTTTTGGTTCATCTGAGCTGCAATATACAAGGTGTAGGCTAGATCTAAAGATTTTTGGCCCAAAATGAGGCTACAAATGGAGAGCTTAACTTCTCTGGGTTCTCTTCGACTTTTAGATTGGATCTAATAGAAACAAAGAGGCGAAAAGAAGGAAACAATTTTTTTCTCGATAGGAAATTATAGGACGAGAATTGAAAGTTACTTCAGACCTATATTGTCATCATCCAAAAATCAAAAGGTTTTGATTAAAAAATTGAACATAAAAAATGATTAAGAAATGGGAAATACAATAACAGATTGGAATGGAAAATCACAGATCTGAGAAAAACTAAGCGAAATTCCCATTTATAGAAAAAAGATTCAAATTTCACTAACAAGAACAACATGAAAACAAAGCAAATTCCCCCGAGCAATTATAATCACCCATCAAAAAGAGAAAATCCAAAGCCTCTATCTCTCTCTATATCTATATGTATGCATTTTCTCACTCAAAAATTGAGTATGGATTGAAGTTTTTTTGGGGGGGTGGGCGTGGGGGTGGGGGGATGAGAGAGAGAGGGGTCATGGGTGTGGAGAAAATATTAATTACTATTTTGCCCTTTTAAAATTGAGTAAAATGTAATTAAAATTAATTTTTCAAATCAAAATCACTTTTTTAGATCAACTAACGGAAAATTGGACATATTCTATCCAAAAAAGCCTCAGATGCAACGTTTTGAAATGTTTTATGTAACAGCTGCAATAAATGAAAGGTTAGAGGAAAGTCTGCTAGTGTTTAAAAGATTTGAGACTCTATTGCAATTTTTCCTAAATTTAATTTGTTTGTGTCCATCTGTAACAAGAATTCTTCTTGATGAGGTTTTGATCCATTCAATAGGTGGTTGATACTTGGCCACCTGTTAACCTAGAGTCTCATCTCATCAACAAAAGCGATGTATATTTATATTTGCGCATATGAAATTTCATATACTTCTTTTAGCATATTTGTGTGCATTACAATGAAAAAGTTGTATTTCTTCGAACTTGTCAAGAGTCGAGCAATCTTTTACAGTTATATGTATGACTATTTTTCATCTAATCTAATTTGCTCCCATCTAGGAGAGAGCTACATTATGAGATTAAGGACTTTTTTCACTAATACGAAAATTTTATTTTATTTTATTTATTTATTTATTTCCTTAAATGAATGCCTCGTTTGTGATCTCATTGAAGCATCCTGTGTAAATACTGCTAATGAGTTTAAACATTGATTGATCAGCATTGCTAGTAGTTTCACAAACCCATTTAACATGAATAATTCTAATTATCAAATGATAGATATGCGCCTCTCACACATTATATACAGACATACAGTGGTGTCAAATTTTGGGTTCATAATTGCTCAGCCTTGCAAAGAAAAAGTAAACATTGATGAGAAAGGGGAAATCTCAACCAGAACAAAAGACGTGGCAGTGAATCATTATTACACGGAATACGTATTTTTAACTAGTATTTTGACATTTTTTTATCTATACGTTCTTCAATAAAATAATATTATATGCAAATTTAAAATTTTTTCTTATTTTTAAACCACATACCTTCTATCAATATACTATTCAAAAATTCATTTTTTCCTGTAGTGGAGCTCAAACAATGAAGTGAGATGACTTGATCAATACGAAAAGCAGCTTTTCTCTCAAATGTACGGATCAGAACACGGGAAGACAGGCATAAAATTCACAGATGGCCAGGAAACTTTTGATTTTTGGATACACGGCTCGTTCAACTAGCTGTTTTGCACTATCACAGAACTAATTGAGATTTGGAAGGAACGGGTTGACGAAATCTTTTCATGAGAAAAATTAAGATATGTTAGTTTACATGTTTTCAAACAACTTATTCATGAAGATCTCAACTAGAGCATGCATGATTGGATATTAATTTTAAAGTAATGTTTCTAGACAAATAAATTTTGGTCGTTAAGATATTTAAGGTAAAATTATATTCGACCCTTCGACATTTATGTGATGTGGTTCTGGGTCTTCAATCTTTAAAAGAAATTTTTCTGAGACCCTATTCTATTTAAATTGGTGAATCGAGTTTCCACGTGACAAAAATGATGAATATATAGATATTAGGAATCACAAGCAATTGAATTTGAAAAATGTTATTTAATTTTATGGTCTTGCGCTCTAGAGTTGAGTAAGGTAAAAATTTTGTACGATTTTAACATCCACATTATCATTTTGAACCACGATAAGACAGGTTCAAGGTTTAAAGAATATGGATTTAAGTGGATATTTGACATCCATTTTTATGGAAAAATGAATTGGAGAATAGTAGACTAATGGAGAATGTGTGGATGAAAAATAAGATTTTTTTTATTTACGTGTAATATTATTTTAATAAAGAATGTGTGATTAAAAAGAAAATAAAGAAAAATATATTATTGATAAAAATGAGAATTAAACGTCGATTAAAATTTCTTTTTAAAATTAGGGATTCACGCCAAAAGTTAGAAAGTCCGGCTTTAATTTTCTCGATATTTATAAACTTTGAGTCCAAGAAGACCAAAAAACTATATAAAATAAATAAATAAAAATAAAAAATCCTTTCCTCTGCAGCTATAAATACACCAAGAGGACACCGCAACTTTGGACTCAAAAATCATTTTATACTCATTAACAGCTATATCATAACCAGATTTTCTCCTCATAAATTTTAATACTTCACATTCACGCTCTCTCTCTCTTAAAGCTGCTCTGTTCTTCAATCCTTCATATTTCATTGCTCTACTTCATATCTCTGTCCCAACTTAATTCACTGATTCTCCTGTTTTCATCAAGAAACTTATTTCTATTTCGAATTTTTATTTGTATTCTTCGAAATTTCGAGGAAAAAGGTGATTTTTTTTTTTTTTCAGTACCTTGTTTCCTCCTCTGTTTTTTGCATGTTCAAAATCTAAATCCATACATGAAAAATGTCTAAAATTCAAGAAAACGACACCCAATTTGTGTCTGAAAATGTTGGATTCTCACTTTCACAACTCATTTTAACTAGTCATTCGAACACCTTGGATTCAATTTTTTCCCATTGCCAACAATCATCAAACCTTGATAACGTCCCTGTTTTCCAGCCATTAGGCTCTTCAGTATACCTAAGACAAAGGGACTTGTTTCAAAAATTATGCCATGATAATAAACCAAACACTTCATTTGCCAAAATTTCCCTCCCAAACCCACCTCAAGAACCGGTTCATCCAAAAAATTATTTTAGCCAAAGCAAGAAAAAGCTATATAGAGGAGTCCGACAGAGGCATTGGGGCAAATGGGTGGCGGAAATTAGACTTCCACATAACAGAATTAGAGTTTGGTTGGGAACTTACGACTCCGCTGAGGCTGCTGCCTATGCTTATGACCGTGCCGCCTATAGACTCCGCGGCGAATATGCTCGCCTGAATTTTCCAAATGTAAAGGACCCAAGTGAATTGGGATTTTGCGATGGCGCCAGATTGACTGCTCTGACGAATGCTGTAGATGCCAAAATTCAAGCAATTTACCAAAAGGTAAAGAGAGAAAAAGCTAAAAAGGCAGCCAAAAAAAGTGAAAAAGTAGAAGAAAATAAAGTTGATCATAATTCATCTTCAATGGAAATGGTTTCGCCAAGTATTTCTGAAGATGGGTTTTGGAAGGGTGAGAATTCACCTTCCTCGGTTTCTTCGATGGATTCGGAGCTTGAATGTTGTTCACTTTCTCGGATCCCATCTTTCGACCCGGAATTGATTTGGGAAGTTCTTGCTAATTAATTTTAAGATCCAGTTCTCTTAGTAAATTTTTAAACATATTTTGTCGTTTCTTTCATGTTTTATGCATTTTTACATTTATAAATGTATGTTATTACCTTTGTTCAGTTGTTTGACAACCGTTATAATAAAAAATTTGAGTAAAATGTATTTTGGAATAATAATTTTTGGAGAATACGTGATTAAAAAAATAAGAAAAAATTTTAAATTTAGATATAATATTAATTTATTGAAAAATGTAGGATTGAAAGAAAAAAGAAAAATATATTAAAATTTTATAAGGAATCAAACAAAGGATATGGTATATAGTGTTTTTTGGTTATTTATTTTTAGAGTTCTGCTTCTGAGCCAGGCTCAGAAACAGGGTAACCCTCAGCCCCCAGATCCCATATATATATATTTTTTTTCCAAATCCGACGGCCGAGGTGGAAATTTTTGGCCTGGACAATCAGCATTTTCGTTATTTTTATTAGTTACACTCGAGAAGACTAACCATCTCCAGAGACCACAAGTTCTGTTCCATGTTGACGAAATAAATGATGTAGAACAATCTGTGCTTGAGGATGAGGAGAAATTTGTTCGTGGGAGGGACTTGAAGTTCCGGGCCGGATCAAGGAGGACTAGATCTATGTCTCCTTTGAGAACTACGTCTTTGGAGTGGCACGAAGATGAAGAAAATGCCGAGAAGAAAAGGCAAAATGAAGAATCTAAGCACGAAGCTTTGGGGCTGGGTGAAACACCAGCATCTGCATCTGAATCTTCCTCGAGATCTTCTTCAGTTGGGAGGAAGTGGATTTTCCTCAAAGAGTTTCTGTACAGAAGTAAAAGTGAAGGAAGAAACAATAGCCACAAGTTTTGGGGCTCTCTATCTTTTTCACCTTCGAAAGATAAGAAAATGACATCAATTAGAGGCCTAGAGATTGCAATTTATGGAGAGGGGAAGAAGAAAGAGGTGAAAAAGAAAGCTTCAAACGGCGTGGGAAAAAGAAGGGTTCCACCATCTCCACACGAATTGCATTACACTGCAAATCGAGCACAAGCAGAGGAGATGAAGAAGAAGACATTCTTTCCATACAGGCAAGGTTTGTTCGATTGTATGGGGTTCAGCTCAAAGAGTTATAGTGCCATGAATGGTTTTGTTAAGAGCTTTGAACCTAGTGTCTTCAAGCTAATGTATTTTGCTGGGTGGGTTTTGTATAGAAATATGTTTTAGGTGTTTCGTCTTTTTAGACTGGGTTTTTGTATAGAAATATGTTTTAGGTGGGTTTTGTATAGAAATTTGTTTGTGTAAATTCAGCCCCCATTTTCTGAAAATGAAAAATGGTCAGAATAATATTTTTTTGAAAAATGAGAGGTTGAAAAAGAATGAAAAGTTTTCGATTTACGTGTAATATTATTTTATGGAAGATTATGTAGTTGAAAATATGAGAGAAAAATGGAATGTAATGTAATAGAATTTAATGGGGGCCAAATGGGGGCTATGCACTTGATTGAATAAGACTAGACATAGCTTCCGTATGACTTTCATTAAATTTCATTTCATTACATTACATTATAATTTTCTCTCTCCTATTTTCAACCACACAATTTTTCATAAAATAATATTGCACGTAAATCGAAATTTTTTTTTTCTTTTTCAACCACTCATTTAAGAAAACACTATTCTACCGATTTTCATTTATAGAAAATGGGAGCCAAACGGGTGTATAATAAGTTATTATAATACTCATATAATGTACGTGGATCAAAGCCTACACATCATTGCAAATTTAATCATTGTTAAATTTCATTCACAGTCATTGAATTTTAGCAATATCTTGATTGTACTCTAAACTTTCGTTTGTCTCAATTAGATCCTTGAAAAGCAAATAAATTTTAAATTTCATAACTTTATCACACATCGTTCTCCAAAATAACGAAAGTTACTCAATTGTCATATAATAATAAATCTTCCATGCAATTGTTGAGTAGCACTATATTTTTAGATTAAAATGTATAAATTGTGCTTTTGTTTCAAGACTTCTATAACGTGATGTGGTGGTAAATTGATATGTCACATAATGATTTTGGAGAATATTATTTGGGATAAAACGGTCATTTTTCATAAAGATGGGAAGTGACAATGATGAAATTTAAAACTAAATTGCGACCTAGTTTCACAGTTAAAATTAAATTAAAACTCAATTACTCGTTTCAGATATCAATAAAAGTTTAGTTAGAGAACATTTCAAAGTACAAATTTTGTTGCACCTGTGCCAATTATTGTATTATAATCTTGTACAATTCACCGTTCTAAACAAATCAATAATGTCTTCATTGACACATCAATTGCGTCCCCAAGATTACATTGCTACCTTGTCGATTGTGTTATCTGTATATAATAGTTTACATAACAGTTTATATATACGTGATGGAATGAGATATAATTTGATCGAAATTTTTTCAACCAAATAAAAAAAATAAAATCTATTCAATCTCTTTTAGATACCTTATTTGTATGTAAACAATTTTGTAATTCTTATATACTAGTTGCATTATTCCTTGCAAAATAATAAGAATAAAGCTCAAAGTACAAGAAAAATTTAATAGAAGGTGGACTAATACTAAAGTGACAAAATGTGATTTGACTTTTTTTCCCCTTTTTTCCATCTTCCAATGATGTTGCGTCATTTGTTGTCTGAAAGAATTTTTCCATCAAAAAATTATATCCTTATGAATAAGCACTATAACCCAAATTTGAAACATGAAAGGGACCGTAAAACTCCCAAGTGTAACGTAGCGCGTCAGGCCCAATACATTAATGTGTTTACATGTCTAAAAATGGCCCAGCAGGCCAGACCATCTTCCTTGGATGTATTATTGGGAAAAATTCATAAATCATGTATTAACTATGCACAATTCAAAAATCACAAAAGTCACCTTTTAAGTTTAACTAATGCAAAAATCAAGTTTTTATCTAATTAATTAAAAATATTTATTAATTAAATACAATAAGGTTATAATTATATAATTAATGATCACATGTACACAATTATAAATCACAGATTTATTCACTGGTCACATATCATCAAATTAATTGATCACAGATTATTTCGAGATCACAAATCAGAACTTTAATAGGTCATAAATTATTTCAAAATCACATATCACAATTTATTATCGGTTTTATAGATCACAAATCCAAAAAATTATAGGTCACAGATCATATATTTTCAAATTGTCATAAATGACTTTTAGTCACAAATAATTGAATTTTAAAGTCACGGACTAATAGTATAATTGGTCACAGACACCAAACACCCAAACCAATCGTCAACAGCCACCACCAGATCCGCCACATTCAAAACCAAAACACAGATCCGATTTCAGATCTAAACAACTATTTGTCCCAAACCATCCAAAAAAACCTCATAAGTAGATGACAAAGAAACTGTAAGAAGCAGCAGATTTAGCACTAAATAGTTATAGCATCTTTCCCAAATTCCTCATCATTCTACACCAAAACATCACCGCTCAAACTTTCAACAAATCGTTCCCCAATTTCCCCGCCATTCAGCACCAGATCGTGACCTAACTCCAGCAACATCGCACTACAACAACCTATACAACATGATCAGAACCCAACTTTGACGAAAAGCTAGAGAAAAGTGAGAAGCCAAACGTTTCTATAATTAAACCATCGGCAAATCAGTAAACCAACTGGTGTGTGGTGGAAATAGGAGGGGAGAGAGAGAGAGGGGATATGTTTGACTTTTGAGGGAAGCCTAAAAATATCTTGCTGCGGGTGTGTTTGAGGGTGTGTGATGTTATTTATAATTCCACAACATTTTCTTATTAATATTAAAATATAAATTTACCACTTGATTTTTGCACAAACAAACCTTCAACCTGATTTTTAAATTATGATCGTAATTTCCACTTTATCATTTGCAGAGTTTTTCAGAAAACCTACATGGAAACTAAAAAGAGATAACTAGGCAGAGTACTTGTTTTTCTTACTAAAACTGATCATTACTGCTTAATCAAAATTTAATGATTTATACTGTGTAAATAACATGGTAAAATGATTATACTTTGAACAGCGAGGATTTCCATTGGACCTTTCCAGTTTCAATAGCTTGAACAAAGAATTCAAACATAGAAAACATGGCCGATCTATCTTTTTTTATTTCATTAACATTGAGTTCAGCAAAAACTCCTGGGTAGCAACCAATAAATTACCTAAAACATAATGTAGAAGGTTAAAGAGAGAAGCTCTCAAACTCTAGTGAGAGAAACACTCACTAGAGTTGCCTTTTGCTTGTGTAAAGCTCACTGATTTGTTGGATTTTACAAATTGGTAATGTTGAATATTGCATAAAAGATTTTACAAAAATCCGTCCAAGTCCAAAAGGAAAGTCGTGAAGATTTCACATTTCTTGCAGTCTTCAAGTTCGGCCAGTTCTTGGCAGAGGATAGTACAGTTTCTTGGTTATTTTTGGCCTAGAAATTTGTCAGTTTTATGGTGGTTTAGCCAAGTCAGAATCAAGCAGCTCTCGGTTAAACTAAATGCCAGCGAGTCGGTTCTCTTGCAGTGTCCAGCACCTTGGTTGTTTTTGTTGTTATCGAGCTTGAAATTTGTGTGGTGAAAGGATTGTTTATATGAAGAACAAATAAGGATAAGTTTAACCCACAGGAAAGTGATTAAATACAAGAAAGAAAGAAGAAAGATGAAGTAATCCTAGGCAAGCAATAGCACTTGTTCTTTAAGACAATGTTGGCCTGCAATGGTGCTCACGGTTTGCGGCACTTGACTTCCAATATACAACAGATTCGACTTATGATAGTAGCACTTCAAACCACAAGTTACAGCGAACTTTTGACAAAATTCCCTCTCTACAAGGGAAAAGGGCTTATGGAATGATTTTGCTAGAGACTTATTATTAATCCAAGATCTTTTCAATTTATACAACCAAAAATATACACAGCAGATTTACAGAAAACCTGACCACTGGATCAAGGTTTAGATTTATATTTAGGCTCAGACCATACGCCCTTTCGAACCATCACAGAGGCACCGAACTCAGCACACGAGCCCTCAAAACCCCAAACACCAAGTCGCTTCACTGGAACCGAAAATGGACAGACCACTTCCAACAGTTTACTCACACAAAGGAGACTAACACAATGACATGATTATCACAAAGATAATCAACAGAAATTCTCACACATAGAAGAAGAAAAGGTCACAAAGACGAAGCCATTGAAAGTTCCAGAATACTCAGAGAAAAAGAGAACAGAAAAATGACCATCCGAATCCCAAACAAAGCATAAGGATCGAATATATAGTAAAACCCATCCACCGTTAGATTGAGTGGGTTAATCCAACGGTCCAAGAACGACTAGGGATATATGGGCTGAATATTGGGCTCGGTTTAAGTAGGCTTTCTAGGTATATTAATAATGGACTATCTATTGATTCCATATTGGGCCTTTTTTATCACTGCCTATTAGTTGGACTGATCAAATGGCATCACAGCCCAATAGATCTCCACCTTGATGCCAGTGATCATACAAGAAGCCTAATAAATGGAAAACACAATTTAAATGTCCTTCTCAAGAAGACAGCTTCCAAGTATTCTCAACAAGCATCAACCTTAGCACCTGTACAGAACAAAACACTTAACCAGCATCAATGTTCAAAATTTGTAAATAAGACTTAAACTTGTTTAAAGGTATTACCTTAGTACCTACATCAGCTGGATTAAATTGGGTTGCAATTTTCTCAAGTAAAATAAGTTCTTTAGAAACAACATCTCTAATAAAATGCAACTTAACATCAATGTGTTTGGTTCTTTCATGAAAAATAGGATTTTTACATAGGTGAATTGCACTTTGACTATCTGAATATAAAACAACAGGGTTACTCAATTAATTTATTTTAGATAACAAGCCCTTAAGCCATAAGCCTTCTTTTATTGCTTCAATTGCAGCAACATACTCAGCTTCAGTAGTAGATAAAGCAACAATAGGTTGAAGTTGAGATTTCCAACTAATACATGTATTACACAAAGTAAACATATAAGAAGTAGTAGATTTCCTATTGTCTTTATCTCCGGCAAAATCTGAATCTACAAAACCCTTAAGTACAACACCTTCATTACAGGCACTAAAAATCAAACCAACATGTGAAGATCCTTTCAAGTATCTCAACAGCCATTTTAGAGCAACCCAATGGTCAGGTCCTGGATTGGCCATAAATCTACTAAGTGTGCTAATGGAATGAGCTACATCAGGCCTAGCACATACCATAGTGTACATAACAGAACCTACGACATTAGCATAGGGTACATTTTCCATTTGTCTAATGTCAGATTCAT